TTAAGCATATTTACTTTTTTCTAATTGTAAAATATATATAAAATTTACCATCTTAACTATTTTTAAAAGTGTAGAGTTCAGTAGTGTTAAGAACATTCACATTGTTATGCTACCAATCTCCAGAACTCTTCATCTTGCATAGCTGATTCTACCCATGAAACCACTCCCATTTCCCCCTGCCTCCCAGACCCTGGTAACCTCTAGTCTAGTTTCTGTTTCTATGAATTTGACTGCTGTAGGTACCCTCATATAAGTGGAATCATGTAAGTAAGTGGAATCAGTCTTTTTGTGACTGGCTTATATTTCACTTAGCATATATTTCACTTGTCCTCAAGGTTCATTCATATTGCAGCATGTGTCAGAATTTCCTTCCTTTTTAAGGCTGAATAATATTCTATGTACAAATAGCCCACATTATGTTTATCCATCCATCAATGGATACATGGGTTGCTTCCATCTTTTGGCTGTTGTGAATAATGCTGCTGTGAACATGGACATACAGATATTTCTTTGAGACCCTGCTTTCAATTCTTTTGGATATATGCCCAGAAGTGGGATTTGCTGGATCATATGCTAATTCTATTTTTAAGTTTTTAGGAACCACCATACTGTTTTCCATAGCAGCTACACCATATTATATTCCCACCAACACTGCAGAAGGGTTTTCTCCACAATTTCTCCACATCCTCGGGAACATTTATGTTCTGAACACTTTTGCCATTTTCTAATTTTTTAATAACAGTCATCCTCATGGGTGTGAGGTGGTATCTCATTGCGGGTTTTTTGTTTTTTTTTTTCTGTGAAGAAGATCAGCCCTGAGCTAACATCCATGCGAATCCTCCTCTTTTTGCTGAGGAAGACTGGCCCTGGGCTAACATCTGTGCCCATCTTCCTCCACTTTATATGGGACGCCACCACAGCATGGCCTGACAAGCTGTGCATCGGCGCATGCACGGGATCCGGGCCCAGGCCGCCAGCAGGGGAGCACGCGCACTTAATCGCTACGCCCCGGGGCTGGCCCTCATTGTGGTTTTGATTTGCATTTTCCTAGTGAATAGTAAGCACTTTTTCATATGCTCTTGGCCATTTGTAGATCTTCTATGGAAAAATGTCTATTCGAGTCTTCTGTCCCTTTTTGAATCAGGTTCTTTTGTTGTTGTTGAGTTGTAGGAGTTATATAGTCTAGATATTAACCTCTTATCAGATATATGATTTGCAAATATTTTCTCCCATTTCTTAGGTTGCCTTTTCACTGCCTAGTCCATGACAGTAAATATAAGTACTATTTGTGACTTTCTTTCCCCGTTATGCCTTACAAGCAGGTGATGGTAATTATTTTGATGATCTGGAACATAGTAGGTACTTGGTTATTTCTTAAATTAGTTGGGGAATGGGGGATTGCCTTATAGCAATCTTGTCCAAATGCCCTCCCAGGGCAGGAATTCTTTCTGTAACAATGTTCCATCACATTCACACTCCGAGGGATAGGGGTTTACTACTTGTGAGTCCGCTGTTTCAGTACTGTTGGAAAGACTTTTTGGAAGCTCAGTTCTTTAAGCTCATGGTTTATTTAACTGATTTAAAAAACTCTTTTATCATGAAAGTTTTCAAAGACACACAACAGTAAAGAGGACAGTATAATGAAATCCTAATGGATCACCCAGACCCAACAGTTAACAAGATTTTGCCACACTTGCTTAACATAGCTTCCTTTTTTCCTGAAGTCATTTAACCTACATTATAACCACAGTGCCCTTACAATACCTCACAAAATTAGTAGAAATTCTATCATCAAATAAATATGCAATTTAGAATGATATATCCCTGGATGTCTCTAAAATATCTTTTTATTGTTTATGTGCTCCAATCAGGGTCAAAACAAAGTCCACACTTGACATTGGGCTGCTAATTTTTAATTATAAAAGCAATACATGCTCATGTAAAAAAAATTCAAATGATTCAGAAAGTTTATAAAGTGAAAATTGGAATTCCCCCTCTCCCCATCACCCACTTTCCATACCCCACTGTTAAGTTTCTTGCATATCTAGAAAACTTGAATGCACATATAAGCATATCTCTCTCCACAAACGGGATGATGCCACATATATGTTTTATAATTCTTTTGTAATGAAAAGATGGCTGTCAGTACATCTAGATCTATGTTTAACAGTGCAAAGTATTCGCCGAAATGGATGTGGCAAAATTTATTTAACTAAACCCATACTGATAGGCATATATGTAGGTTGGTTTCATTGGGCAATTAGCAACAGTGCTACAGTGAACATCATTTTGCTAAATCTCTGTCCACTTGTTCAATTATTGCTAAGGAATAAATTTCTAGAAATGGAATTGCTGGGTGAAAGTGTGGGTGTGCCTTTTATTTGGATACATATCCATCAAAAGTGGAAGAATTCCATTTTCCCCATAGGTGAAATGGGGAAATCTGATAGGTGAAAAAAGTGGGTCCTGACTACCCTTTAAAGTTTCTCTGCCCCACAATTTCCAATGACTGTTTGTTCATTCAAATGGACGAGTCCCTTTAGATATAGTTGATACCAGCACAGTTGCAATCTAAAAAATTTTTGAGCTAAGTACACACCAGCAAAGTAGAGAACTGAAAATGTCCAGAAAATTAAAGCTTCATAAAAGCTCCCTTGAATTTTAGATAAGGGAGGCTAAAATCCATATTACCTCTCACTTGCGTGGGCCTGACCCAAGCAAACCCCTCAAGAGAACTTTGGAAAGTTGTTTCTCTAGGTAAAGAATAACAGCATATAGGGAAAAAAAGAAAATTTGATGAAAGATTCTCCTGGTGTCTGCCCTGTCCAATATAGAAGCAACTAACCACATGTGGCTATTCAGCACTTAAAATGTGGCTAATGCAACTGCAGAACTGAATTTCTAATTTTATGTAATTTTAGTTAAATGTAAAAATGGATACTTAATTCAATTATTAGAAAACATTTAAGATGTTTTGACCAAATTGAGTATGTGAGTATATCTTTCCACAGTAAATTTTATGAAATCTAAATATAAATTATGTCTAATGAAAACCCAGCATCTGAGTTGAAATGTATTTTAAGTGTAAAATACACACCAGATTTTGGAGACCTAGTATGAAAAAATATATGAGATATCTCATTAATAATTTTTACGTTGATTACATATTGAAATAACGTTTTTGATTTATTGCATTAAATTATTAAAATTAATTTCACCAGGTTTTTTTTAGACGAGCTATTAGAAATTTTTAAATTATGTATATGGCTCGTATTATATTTGTCAGACAGTGCTTCTCTAGATTGGGGTTAACTAACTGTACATTTTTCTGGAGAGAAGATTCATAGCATTCCCCAAGAATCTGAAGTCTCAGAGAGAGTAAGAATCGCCCACTAGATAGAACTGTAAGACATTTCTCCAGCTTCTTCTGGAGGCTGCTCTCAAAAAAACCTTTCTTTTTTTTTGTGAAGATCAGCTCTGAGCTAACATCCATGCCAATCCTGCTCTTTTTGTTTGCTGAGGAAGACTGGCCCTTAGCTAACATCTGTTGCCAGTCCTCCTCCTTTTTTTTCCCTTTTTCTCCCCAAAGCCCCAGTAGATAGTTGTATGTCATGGCTGCACATCCTTCTAGTTGCTGTATGTGGGACACAGCCTCAGCATGGCCGGAGAAGCAGTGCATCAGTGCACACCCAGGATCCGAACCCCAGCCGCCAGTAGCGGAGCGCGTGCACTTAACCACTGAGCCACTGGGCCGGCCCCCAAAAAAGCCTTTTTAAGAGGGTTAACTGACGCTTTAAAAGGAAGCATTTTACTAAACCACTGTTCCTCTCTCATGAAAGGGAGATTTCCAGCAGCCGTCTCTTCTGATGTTCATCCATTAGCTGGCCAGCATGGAGCAGGCCTGGACGTGCTGGTCCTGAAAATCTTAACGAGGGTCTGTTCTCCGGAGGAGAGTTACAGCGTGGGAGCTGCAGCAGCTGGGTGAGCCTCTCCACCTCCGCCTCCCTCTCCACACCCGTGTCCTCTGCCAAAAACAAGTCTGTATTTGGACAAAAATTCTGACAGGCTGTGCAACTGTTGCATGGCTAATTACACATGAAAAGTAACTACTCCAGCTAAAACTGCTGACCTGAGAAGGTTACGGGAATAGCACAAAAATCAGGTTGGAAGTGACGAAATTAAAAGGATTGTTTACTTTCTCACAATCAAGTATTCCTTGTTAATCATTTTCTGTCAGTTAAATGACAGCATTGAAAGTGGTACATCCTTAACAAAGCAGTCAGAGAGCAGGTTTCCTTTATTGTCTGGTGATGTTTCACTCTGTGTTTCTCCCAGGAAGCTGAACATCCTTACATCCTTCTCTCTCTTGCACATATTGCCTGTTTCCAGACTTCCTAGACCACAGATTCATAACTGAGGAAGGGGAATCAGGAGGGAGACGGCCAACACCAGGACAGGGCAGAGTGAGGGGCGGGGGGAGGAGTGTGTAGATTTTCAAGCACATTCACAATGATCGTTTTCTGCTTCGGCCACAACCGTTGGTATATTTTGAAATTTCAAAGAATATTAAAGGATGCACATTTTGATTCTCAAAAAGGAGCACAAGTTAAAACAAGTCTGAGGATCACTGCCCTAAATCCACGTTGCTTTACACAAGAGTGGGGTAGGACGATAAAATGGCAGCTCACACTGGAGCAAATCAAAATTCTAGGAATTCTTTGTGCTGGAAGAGATAACTCGGAATAACATGCCCCTACGTAATAGTCTATTGAGTTCTTTAATCAGAATATGTTTAGAATTTAAACCTAACAGATGCAAAGGAAAAGCTTTCCTACCTACCTAAAGCATGCCTTCACTTACCACCAAAGTAGGGATACTTAATAAGTCCATACAGCATTTCAACTTAGTGATCTTATAAGGCAGAAAAAAAGGTCTTAGTCACTTTCTTTACAGCCACTTTTCACCCACAATTCTGGAAGGCAACAGCCATAACCTTTCTCACAAAATAAGTGGAATCAATATTAGTAAAAGGCCAGATTATTTAAAATCTTGAGTCATCACTTCACTACCGGTCTCAGCAATTGCTGGGCCCACGGGAGCAGCAGAGTTGAGGATTAGGGGCAAGCTGGAAATTTCCTTAACCTGTTGGCAGCAGTCACCACGTAGAAATGTTTCTTGAGGTAAGGAGAGAAAAAGAGAAAAAAATCATATTTTTAGACCAATTGTTTTAAGAAGAAACAATAAAAGGACTTAAGCAAGTTTAACCATTTGGGTTTGTTTAAAACTGATAACCTAAAGGGGAAAACAAGATTCTAGCAAAATTATAGTGGAACAGTTACATGACTTTCAGTGGCATGTTTGGAGCAAGCATGAACGAGAAATGTTATCTGCCCTTTTCACATGGAAAAACAGAGCACCCAGCACAGCGGTCTTCACATTGTGAGTACAGCCCACCGTGGGATGTGAGATCAAATTGGCGGGTTACGACCTACATTGTTTGCATGAAACCAAGTATGGCAGACTAGAAAATATCAGAGTGTCGGGGCCGGCCCCGTGGCGCAGCGGTTAAGTGCGCGTGCTCTGCTGCGGCGGCCCAGGGTTCACTGGCCCGGATCCTGGGTGCGCACCAACGCACCACTTGTCAAGCCATGCTGTGGCGGTGTCCCATATAAAGTGGAGGAAGATGGGCATGGATGTTAGTCCAGGGCCGGTCTTCCTCAGCAAAAGAGGAGGATTGGCAGATGTTAGCTCAGGGCTGATCTTCCTCACAAAAAAAAAAAAAAAGAAAGAAAATATCAGAGTGCGTCACACCCTCTGAAGCAAATGCTGTGATATTTCTGTTTTGCATACGTGTGTACACATACATGTGTACTTGTGTGCTGGCTCTCTAAGTTTTGTTTTTGTTTTTTAGCGAGGATCTGAGTCAATATCAAAATGTTGGAAAGCCACTTCCCTGGAGGAGACAGATTTTATGTCCATGGTACCAAAGAGTTCTGTTGTAAACCAAATTATAAAGCTTTTCAAGCATAACAGGGCTTTCCCAGCCCCTGTTTCTGAGCGTGGAGGAGGCAGGCCTCAGCCACAAGCAGTGGGCTTGGAGGGCTTCCCTGCTGAGCTTGAGAGCATACGCTCAAGCTTTCTTCTGTCATTTCAATGTCCACATAAGGATGAACTAAATCCCACTTTTATGCATGTCATTTTTGGTCTGTGGCACTTTTTAATCAAGCTAAGAGGTTTTTACATAAGAGGGTTTTTTCCCCCTAAATAATCTTTCTATTTAGAATAAAAGTGTAAGTAAAAACGTAGCTACAGTTCTTTCAAAGGACATATTAAGAGACAAACGCTGCCTTTACTAAAAGAAATACCTTCCATTTCCTCTGAGCCATGTATTTCTGCAGCAATAGTTGGGATTTGAGACGAACTTTGGATTTTGAAGCTTTGGCAGGCAAATTATTCAACCACTCATGTTTCAGGCACTGTGTGGCACTCATTCTGCAGCTGCGAAATCAAACAGCATTGAGACTTTTAGTTGAGGTTGCCTTTTCTGGTTGTCTGAAATGTTCAATTGAGTAGGAAGCCTGAGTCAGTAGAACAGATTAATCATTTAGGCAGATTCAAGCCGCACACTAAAAAGGGAACTCCTCCTGCCTAAAATTCTCCTTAAAAGTGCAAGAAAGTTGTCAACAAAATGTTCCCTGCCCTCTACAGAGGGAACGTACCCCAGTGGGTAACCACTGCCTCCCAGAGAGAGCTGGGGAATCGCGGCAGGGCAGTGGGAAGGCCAGCCGCGCCCGGAATCGCTCTGGAGTAAGAGCACAGGGGCCTCGAGAGAAGTCCTCCCTCCTTCCAGAGCATAATGTCAGCTTGCTCTTCCGAATTAGAAATACGTTTTCTCTCACATTACTTTTCATAATCAGGAAGAAACAAACAACAGGAAAGGCCAGGGAACTTACTCACGGGCCTCGCCCCTGAGCCGTCTGCAAACTCCCACAGGTCTGAGTATCAAACTCAATGGCCCAGCCCACACCCTTGATAGAGCCACTGAAAACAAAGGAGGCCCTAACCACAAAGAAATGAGGCTTTCTGGCTTTTATTCTGGGGAAGAATAACTGCATATTTCAACTTTTTTTCAGCTTTAGCCTATTAAAAGTGATAACTTGGAACTAGGACTGATTTGTAAATATGGTCCTTTCTAAAACTCTAAGTTTTACACTCCTAGTTGTTTGTTTTTTAATTGATTTCCTTTGTCCTCTTCCCTGCTACCTTTTTTGCTCCAAAGAAGTGGCAGACTAAGAAATCCTGGACAGAACTGGTGCACAGGAAGAAGGGAATGTTAGGTTCTGCAGCCCTGCCCAGCAGCAGCCCAATCTTCACAGCACGCAGATCAGTGGTCACCATCAGAATGGATCACAGGTGACAAGCAAGAAAGGGTACCTCTTCTCTTTGACCAGCAAACGGGAGACAAAGTCCTTGGCCTCCTCCGAAAGCCCTTCAAAGGTGTCAGCGTCGAAATCCCAGCTACAGTTCACAATGAAATTCATAGTCTCTGCATCTGTTTCCCCTAGAAATGGGGACAAACCACTGAGCCTACAGGGGAGAGAAAAGACCATCAGTGTGCGGAAACCACATCTGCCCACGTGCATCAACAGGATAGACAAGAATCTTACAAGGTCAAGCAGAACTAACCAGAACCAAGAACTGACCAGAACCCATTACCTCTCCACAGGAGATAGTCCAGTGCATTCAGGTAGGGAAGGAAGTGGAAGGATTGAAAAACTGAAGGCAGGAAGAGTGTTCGAATAAATCTTCTGTCATGCTCACCTCTTTCCCCTTACTCCGAAGTAAGGAGTAAATTGGAGCCCGACCCAATATGTCCATTTATCAGGCACATGGTTTTTTTTTTTTTTTTTGTGAGGAATATTGGCCCTGAGCTAACATCTGCCAATCCTCCTCTTTTTGCTGAGGAAGACTGGCCCTGGGCTAACATCCATGCCCATCTTCCTCCACTTTATGTGGGATGCCTGCCACAGCAAGGCCTGACAAGTGGTGCGTCGGTGCACACCCAGGATCCGAACCAGCGAACCCCGGGCTGCTGCAGCGGAGCGTGAGCACTTAACCGCTTGCGCCACCGGGCTGGCTCCCAGGCACATGTTGACTTAACTTAAAAATACCTTAGCCTGTCTCCGAGACAGCCAGGCTGGTGTAGATACTACCCAGCCTCAGGGGCCAAAGGGAAACTGGCTTCATTAGGCTCCTCTCGAGTGAGGGCGGAAAGACACGACTAGCCTTGGTCTCACATCTCCCCCACCTGCTGCAGCACAACCACACACAGAGCAGGGAAACGGGGTAGCGGCTACACCGTAGTGATAAGACTGGGAGCAAAGCGTGACTTTGCTGGGCCTCTGAGGAAATAGCCGAGGGACACCCACAGCTGGAGAGAGAGGAAGCTGTTTAGACTGTGCACAGATCCCCTCTCAGCCCTCCTAACTCTGCTTCCTCAGCCCTCAGAGAACAGGGAGCACAGGGCAGGGGGACAAGGTAAGACGCTGCAGCAGTGTCCCGCCTGCCGTCCCCTCTTGTACCGCGTCAGGGCGCTCCAGCCCCACTGGTACCGCAGCACCTGCTTTTCTTTGCTGGAGGCCTTTCTCTCCAGTAGAAGCTGCTTAATCCACCCAGAAGTTTCAGGGAATTAATGCCCTGGGATCAGCCCACAAGCAATAACTGATAAGAGTTGGTGTGTCAATACCCCAACTTCCTCGCCTCTCAGATGGAATGGCTCTGAGGGGGTGTTCCCCCACGGATCCCAGAGTTCCCCCACAGGCTTCAACCCCAGCTGCCCACAGTGGTCTGGCTCTACAGCACATGTTTTCCTGGCTGCCTTCCTCCCCATCTCTCTTCCCCACTCCGCTGTGGGTGCTTCCTAGGAACACCTCCCCAGTCAACTACTCACACTCTAATTTTTGCTGCATCGAAGGACACCCAGACTAAGAGGGACGGCCCCATCCCCCCGGGAGCCACGCCCCAGGCACTCACAGCATGTAGGTGATGACTCCCATGCTCCACATGTCCGTGGGGAACGAGACAAACTCGTAATTGACGACTTCCGGGGCCAGGAACTCAGGGGTGCCGAAGTTCACCTTTAGCTTCTCTCGAGGCTTGTACCTGGGGAGGGGGTGCAGAGGACCGTGGGAGTGAGCCTGGGATAAGATGTGGTGCTGGGAGTAATTCCTGGTGGGAGCTAGACATTCCCCAGCCCTTCCTATCAGCCGTGTTGTCTGGACTCACTTCCCGCCACGCAGGGGTTTACTGGGGAATCACCATACTCCCAGACCCCAAATCCAGACTTTCCTAAGCCACTGGGGAGAATTAGCAAACCACAGTCCTCCTCCTCTGGGCATCTACAATCTGAAAAGGAGAGAAGATCAATATACAGTCATGCCTCACTTAACAACGGGACACGTTCTGAGAAATGCATCGTTAGGTGATTTCGTCATTGTGCAAACATCATGCAGTGTACCTACACAAACCTAGATGGTATAGCCTACTGCACATGTGGGCTACACGGTGCTGATCTTAAGGGACCACCGTCGTATATGCAGTTCATCGTTGACAGAAGTGTCATTATGCAGCATGTGACTGTCTTATTCAGCGTGCAGCTGCGTAAATGAGCACAGACAAATTGGTTGGAGCTGCGTGTGGAGGTCTGCTCTGTCGGTGTGTGCAATGTGGTTGGAAGGATGTCAGTAAGAATTCCAAAAAGAGGAAGAACGCTCAACATCACTAATCATCAGGGAAATGCAAATCAAAACCACAACAAGATATCACCTCACACCATCAGGATGGCTACTATCAAAAAAGCAAACAAAAACAAAACAGAAAATAGCAAGTGTTGGCTAGGATGCGGAGAAATTGGAACCCTTATTGGGAATGTAAAATGGTGCAGTTGCTATGGAAAACAGTAAGGCGATTCCCCCAAAAATTAAAACAAGAACTACCATATGATCCAACAATCCTACTTCTGGGAATATATCCAAAAGAATTAAGAGCAGAGTCTCGAAGAGATATTTATACACCAAGTTCATAGCAGCATTATTCACAATAGCCAGAAGGTGGAAGCAACCCAAGTGTCCATCGACAGATGAATGGATAAGCAAAATGTGATATAAACATACAATGGAACATTTTCAGCCTTAAAAAGGAAGGAGATTCTGACACATGCTACAACATGGATGAACCTTGAGGACATTATACTGAATGAAATAAACCAGTCACAAAAAGACAAATACTGTATGATTCCACGTAGATGAGGTACCTGGAGTAGTCAAATTCCGAGACAGAAAGTAGGATGGTTTCCAGGGGCTGGAGACAGAAGGAAAATGAGGAGTTGCTGTGTAATGGGTGTAGAGTTTCAGTTTTGCAAGATGAAAAGAATTCTCGAGATTGGTTGCAAAACAATGTGAACAAACTTAAACACTACTGAACTAATCTTAAAACTTGTAAAGATGGTAAATTTTCTGTTATGTGTCTTTTACACAATTACAAAAAGAATTAGAAAAAGGGCTCTGGACATGAAGTTTAAGGAAGGCTAGGAAGAGGGTTGATGCCTGAGTGGGAAAAGGGTTGATGAAAGGTGGTTTTTAGAATCAGTCCTGAAGAAGAAGAATGTCTCTCGTTAAAATTTAATGGGCAGCAACTGAGATGTCCTTTGATTGGGTGAGTACGTAAATAAACTGTGGTACATCCAGACAAGGAAATAGTATTCAATGCTAAAAAGAAATGAGCTATCAAGACATGAAAAGACATGGGAGAACCTTAAATGCATATACTAAGTGAAAAGAAGCCAATCTGAAAAGGCTACAAACTGTAGGATTCCAAATATATGACATTCTGGAAAAGGCAAAACTATGGAGACAGTAAAAAGATCAGTGGTTGTCAGAGGTTAGGGAGGAGGGAGAGATGAATAGGTGAAGCACAGAGGATTTTTAGGGCAGTGAAAATATTCTATAATACTGTAATGGTGAATACATGTCCTTACACATTTGTCCAAACCCATAGAATGTACAACACCAGAGTAAACCTTAATGTAAACCACGGACTTGGGGTGATTATGATGTGTCAACGTAGGTTCATCAGTGTTCATAATGGGGAGGCTTTGCATGTGTAGGAGCAGGGGGTATATGGGAAATCTCTGTTCTTTCCCCTCAATTTTGTTGTGAACCTAAAACTGCTTTAAAAAAATTAAGTGTTAATTAAAAAAAATTTAATGGGCACTTCCTATTTGCCAGGAACCATGCTGAAAGTTTTATATATATAAACTTTTCATCCTCACAACAGCCCTATGAAGTAGATAAGATTATTGTCTCCATTTTACAGGCGAGACAATTGACAAATAGAGACGAATAATATGAATATTCTGCCAATGTGCCCGATTCCCTTAAACCAGGGAAGTAAGTTTTCAAATTTGCTGACAGACAGGCAAATGCAGACCTGGAGGCAACACAGCCTACACCCACCCAGTGAAAGAGCAACAAGGACCACCTTGGTGGCTGTGCTGTGGAAGGAAGCCAGGGAGGGGAAGAGAGTGCAAGCCCTCCTATGGCAGCCCACTCCTCCCCTGAACTGGCAACTGACCCGAGGCTCAGGGCCAAGGAGCTAAACTGAGAGGAACAGCCTTTCCCTTGAGGAGAGGAGACCCAGGCTCTCCGCCCCTGGAAGCCACATTCCCAGGATGCATTATTGTTTCCATTGCTTCATCTGCCTCTCACACACACCCTGTATCATGTGACTTTGTAGTTCCTTCCACTAGAGGTGGCATATATGGCCCCACTCCATTGAGTGGGCTTGGCCTTGTGAGTTCCTTTGGCCATGGAATGTGGGTGGAAGTGACAGTAGGCCAAGTCCAAGCTAGGCCATAGGAGCTTGCCTTCTTGCTCCTCTGCCAACACCACGAGAAGAGAACGAGAGACGTGGAGCAGACCTGTCCTCACTGACCTGCCTCTTGGATCCAAGCCAAGCTCAGCTCAGCCTAGATCAGGGACTCCCAACCAGGGGTGTGCGGGGAAATGTTTAACAACCAGTTATCTGATTTAAAAAAAAAAATCCTGATTTGTAGCATTTGCCAATTTCTGTGGTGTAAATACTGATTTCACCACACCATCATGGTTGATGTCAACGTACCATCACGATGTCACTGAATGCAGAGTTGAGAAGAGGTTTGCAATAGCCCACCACTCTGTACTATTTCCACCATACAGATACAATAGAATAAATAGCCTCATGAGCATAAACAATAGTGAAATGTAGTAAAATAATTAGGAAGTGATAAGTTTTAAAGATGAAATATCTTTGTTTTTAATATAATTTCTTTAATTGAAAGTTTATACAGCTTAATTTTTAATAACGGCCGTTTAACAACTGGCTTACAAGATTCCTTATTGTGAGTTAGTATGAGTTGGGTCCAGAATACTACTCTCCCCAGCTGACTCACAACTGTGTGAATGAGAATAAACGATTGGTGCTTTAAGCCACTGTATTTCGGAGTGGTTTGTTATACAGCAGTATTGTGGCAATAGCTAACCAATACACCCATCCCAAAGCTGTGTCAAAATATCCAGAAAGACCTCTCCAGATCCCTAGCACAAGGCCCTCTGTGACGATACGGTCACAGATGAGGTTGCAGCCCCACAGGGTTAGCCCCAAGGGTAGGCACTTCCTTGCCCTGCCCAAGGATCTGATGAAACGGGCTTGGAGCCCAATCTGAGCACAGCCCTGGAAGCCAGGAGGCCCACCCCTGCACCCAACATTCTTGAGACTAAGCTTACACAAGAAACTTCCCAACCTGTCCCCATCCTTGACCCTTGACATGTCTCTACTTTGACCCACTGATGGTTCTCACTGCCCAGCCTGGTGTAGTGCTGGTCCCTCTCGATAGACGTCATAGCCTCTGAAGACTTGTGTGTGCCCCTACTCTACCGGGGTCATACGCCACTGAAAACCTCAGCACCTTCTAACAGCCCCACCTGGAAATACGACTTGACTTGCTATAGCTTGTATGACCGGGAAAAATTGGCATTTCCTCCCTCTTTACAAACATTTAATTATTCTGGAGTATAAAATATGCTCTCTCAACCTGCACATTCCCCCCACGGATCCTTCCTCTTAGAAGGACACACTTCCCAGGAAGCAGGCCAATTTGGAAAAAGCCAATTTGCCAAACAATCCTTTTGCCAAACGACCAGCTTGCCAGACTACTGAGGATGTTTTTGATGTTTTCCTTTCATCTCACAGACAGAACGTGTGACTCTGTCAGCCCAGCTCTGTCGAGCGCAGCTTCCTGAGAGTGAGGTTGTTCGGACACCTGCCCTTCTCCGATGCCCAGCAGCTTTATGTGGGTGGCCTTCTCTCAAATGTGGTTCCCTGTGTTTATTTTCTTGAACTTGCCTTCCACCTCTGGTCCCACCAGCAAAATTATTGTCATCAAGGCCCTTGACCAGGTTAACAAATATGTCTGGCAGTTTTGGATGGATTGTCTGACCGTTTCTGAATAGATTTTGACTAACTGATTTTTTGTAAATTGGCCTACAGCCCTTTTCACCTTCCCACCCGGTGAGACTCAATGGCCTATAGGATAATGTTGCAACTTCTGAACCTGACATTCCGGACTCCATATTAGTGCCCTGATCTTCTACTGTAACTGCCTCCCCTAATCTCACCCGCAGCTCCTCCCTTCCCCGGACCAGCCTGCTCGTGTGCCATGCACATCCTATTCTCAGCCCCATAACTCACACTCTCTCTCCTGCCAGCTACGGGCAGAGCTGTGATAGAGCTGGTTCTTATGGGGGCACAAGAGTCACTCGTGCACATCTCCTCCCAACTCTGCATTCAGTGACATCATGTTGGTAGCTTGAAATTGGCTAAAATTAGTAAAAGTTACAAATCAACCCCACTTCCTCTCACCCACCCCGCCACGGCAGCTGGTTGTTAAACATTTACCAGCATACTACTGGCTGCATGTAACAAAATTCTGTTCATCCGTCCCTTCTGTCTGCTCAGAGAAGCCTTCCCAGACTCCAGGAGCCTCAGGTAGTTACTTTTTGCTCTGAATTCACAGTGTGTCATTGTAAATACGGTAGTCCCCCTTATCCGTGGTTTTGTGGTCTGTGATTTTAGTTACCTGTGGTCAACAGTGGTCCAAAAATATTAAATGGAAAATTCTAGAAATAAACAATTCATAAGTTTTAAATTATGTGCTGTTCTGATAGCATGATAAATCTCACACCATCCTGCTCTGTCCCGCCCGGGACTGAACCATCCCTTTGTGCAGCGTATCCACAGTGTAGATGTTAGCCGCCTGTTAGTCACTTAGTAGCCTTCTCAGTTGTCAGATCGACTTTTGCAGTATCTACAGTGCTCCTGTTCAAGTAACTCTTAATTTACTCAGTAATGGCCCCAAAGTGCAAGAGTAGTGATGCTGGCAACTTGGATAGCCAAAGAGAAGCCGTAAAGAACCTCCTTTAAGTGAAAAAGTGAAAGTTCTCAACTTAATAAGGAAAGAAAAAAATTGTATGCTGAGGTTGCTAAGATCTATGGTAACTTTATTACAGTATATTGTTAAATTTTTCTATTTTATTATTGTTGTTAATCTCTTACTGTGCCTATTGATGATAAATGAAACTTTATCATAGATGTGTATATATAGGAAAAAACACAGTATATACAGGGTTCAGTACTAGCCTCGGTTTCAGGCATCCACGGTGGGTCTGGAAAAGTATCCCCGTGGATAAGGGGGGACTGCTGTACTCATTTGGCAGTTGGTCATTTGGCATTTGGGAGGGTACTGCCTACACTGGTGTGTGTATTCTCACTGATGACAATACTGCTCCAGAGCGGGTGAATGTTGGTTCTTGGGAGGGGGGAAATCTTAGCTATTATGCTGGTTTGTGGCTCTCCAAAGAGCCACCGTACATCAACAGATACACGGTACATCTGTGGCATTGAATGTCATGGGGAAGGGGCCTAGCAATTAGGAAAGAAATGTCTAACAAGGCACTTGGGGGGGCAGTAGTGAAATTGGAAAATAGGTTGAGAAACACTGCTCTAGTGTATAAGACATGCAAGGGTACAGGATGCACTCCAATTTTATAAAACATTATCTGGGAAAATATTAAGCAATATTTTTCCATTCTAGGATGTCTAAGCATCTGGGGTGGGGGACTTGGGACTGTTTGTGAGATACAGCACACTGTGTAATGGAGATCCTGAAGGCACAGCGGGTTGATGTGGACTTCCCTCTGCTGTTACTCTCATGACCTCCATTGTGTGAGGAACTGAAAATGCACCTTTCGTCCCTGCAAGGAGGTAACAGTTATCACTTCAACCAGTCAGGGAGTGACCTAGGAAGACTGCCCTTGTGGTTCTGATTGCCACCTGTGGGACGCAGGAGCTGGACACCAGAGGCTGAGCTCAGGCCAGCAGCTCTGCCTCCACGGTGATGAAGCCCTGCTTTCTGCCCTTTGTGGATGGAGCAGACGACACTGCAAGGCTCATAAAGCAACAAAAACAACTTTGTGGAAAATGACCATTGACGTGAAAGAAAATTTTAAGAGCTGAAAATTCAGTTGTGATGTGAAGATCTATCTAGAAAATATGTGATTCCCAGAGAAATGTCATTCTTGGTGGAAACAGAATTCTAGAAGAAGCCTGCAGGATGGGCATACAACTATTGCCATATTTATAGACTGTGGATGCCTGAAGGTGTGGGGGACAGCCCTCCCCAGGGCCACGGGTCTGCTAATGCCACTGCTAAGAACCCATACACTGGGCCGGTCCCGTGGCTTAGCGGTTAAGTGTGCGCACTCCGCTACTGGCGGCCCGGGTTCGGATCCCGGGCGCGCACCGATGCACCGCTTCTCCGGCCATGTTGAGGCCACGTCCCACATACAGCAACTAGAAGGATGTGCAACTATGACATACAACTATCTACTGGGGCTTTGGGGAAAAAAAGGAGGCGGATTGGCAATAGATGTTAGCTCAGAGCCGGTCTTCCTCAGCAAAAAGAGAAGGATTAGCACGGATGTTAGCTCAGGGCTGATCTTCCTCACAAAAAAAAAACAACCCACACACTGAGTGTCATGCCATGGGCAAGAGCCCTACACAGGCACAGAATTCATCATACATATGACTGGACAGGACGGAACAATAAACTACACTTCACTAGGCTTTAGGCATTTTAAGGGACTCCAAGATGTTTTAAAAATTATACACGATGCTCCCTGTATGCACTGGGTGGGTCTGCACCGTTGATGCACTATCTCATTAACCTTTGTAACTGCCCCCTAGCCGCCGGTACTCCCTTATACCCCCTTTTACCAAGACAGACCCAGTCCTGAGGGGCCCAGAACCACTTGCCCATGGCACCACCCTACACTGTCACATACTCATTTTCCTATTTCACTCAGTATGTCCTGGAGGGCAAGGATGGTGACGGATGCCTCACATGCCCCGGCCCCCGGAGGCCTGGGGAATGAATAGACTTGAGCTGCCCAGCACCCCCATTCAGTGGTCCCCCTTTAACTGTCGCTCCCCTCTCTGCTCACACAGGTGGTTTGGCTCACACACCATTCATTAACCCCACAGCCTTTTCAGGAGAAGCAGAGGCCGCAGCATAAAGCCACCCCCTGTGGTAGTAATAGGCCTGTCAGAGGCCACCAGCCTTTCAGTGAGAGAGCTTTCTGTGTCAATCCCCAAACTCAAAAATTGGCTGATCTGTGGGTAACCACATCCAAGAGAGCCACAGAGCCCCCAGGGAGTTCTGTCCAAGTGCCGAAATACAGCCTCCTTACCTTCTGGCCAGCCCGAAGTCAATTATCTTAATTTGGTGTCCGGTCTGACTGACACACAGGATGTTCTCCGGCTGGGGAAGAAAGAGAAGTCTGCTCAGCTCAGTTAATGCTAAGAAGGTCTGCAGCTCCCACACTTGTTGTCAACAGGCCTCAGTTTCCCAGCCTCCAAGGGAAATGCGTGGCTTGGGGGAACTCTACAGGGATGATATTGAAAATAAATAACGTGGGCTGGTAAGAGACAATAAGGAGTGGTGTGGACTGGGAGGGAACTGGAGGCCTCCTGCCCCGTGTAGAGGGGCAGCCACTGCTCAGCTCCAGCCACCGGCCACCACCCAGGATGTGGGTCCAGTTGCCAGAGTTCCTCAGCCCTCAAGGGAAGCCAGAAATCCAGGTTTTTATGTGAATATTCCATGCTTTTAAATGTTGACAACAAAATTCAGTTTAGACACACATTCATCAGGTGTGGGAAGCAAACGCGACACCCCCGTGGTGCAGAGCTGGCTCACAAGCTGCTGTTGGAGACCCGTGACTGGGGGTGGCTCAGCCCTGGCTGCACGTTAGAACCATCAGGGGCTCTCAAGTGCCAATGCCAGGACCCACCCTGACCAGCGACATCAGAATCTCGGAGGTGGGACAAGATCTTCTCTGGGCAAGGAGATCAAAGCTGCTAAACGTCAGCCTGCCATTTTGTGGTGACAGCTGTGACCCCCTGGATGGGGTGGTGGTCCTGACACACCTCTCCTCTGAAGTCTTTCGGATCAGCTCTGAGGCCCCGAGGGAGCCTGAAACAATGCTTGCTGTTCGTGCAAAACAACTTTGGATGGGAGTGGAGGTTGAGGGCAGATGGAGGGCTCATGGTACAAAGGGCCTGGAGACCTGAGGCCAGTGCCTGAGGTCCAGGGGTCCACTACCTGAGTCTGGAGCCCCAGATGAGTCCCTTCCCATTCCTGAAACCGCAGTGTCTCCATCTGTAAAATGGGAATAATAACCTTTTCCTGCCTTCCTCCTGGGAGGGTGTGAGGATCAAACGACATGATACGTATGAAACACTTTACAGATTCTGAAACGAATGCCACGTACTCTTTGTCCCAACAGACGGTTTTATTGCTGTTTATGTTACAATGGGGTTGTGCAATTCCTAAGATGGGTACAGGGCAATGGTGATTACAAGTCTCCATGTCTTCTTTAGAAGGCCTGGAACAACACTGTCCAATAGAAATATAATGTGAGCCTCATATATAATTTTAAATTTTCTAATAGCCACATTAAAAAAGTAAAAAGAGGGGCCGGCCCGGTGGCATAGTGGTTAAGTTCGCATGCTCCGTTTTGGCAGCCCAGGGCTCGCAGGTTCGGATACTGGACATTGCTTATCAAGCCATGCTGTGGCAGGCGTCCCACATATAAAGCAGAGGAAGATGGGCACGGATGTTAGCCCAGGGCCAATCTTCCTTACCAAAAAAAAAGGAAAAAGAAACAGGTGAACTTAATTTTTATAACAGCATTATTGAAATATAAATAATGATACCATAAATTTCACCATTTTAAAGCATACAATTCAGCAGTTTTCAGTAGATAGTTTGCTGCTATCTAATTTTAGATCATTTTCATCACTTTGAAAAAAAATAACTTGTACCCGTCAGCAGTCACTCTCCATTCTCCTCCACCTCCAACTCTGGGCAACCATTAATGTATTTTCTGTCTCTGTAGATTTGCTGATTTTGGACATTTAATATAAATGGAATCATAAAACATGTGGCCTTTTGCATCTGGCTTCTTTCACTTAGCATAATGTTTTCAAGGTTCATCCATGTATCAGTATTTGATTTCTTTTCATGGCTGAATAATATTCTATCATATGGATATACCATATTTTGTTTATTTATTCATCAGTTAGCGAACATTCGGTTGTTTCCCCTTTTTGGCTATTATGCATAATGCTGCTAAGAACATTCATGTACAAGTTTTTGTGTTGACTTATGTTTTTAATTCTCTTAAGTATATACCTAGGAGTGCTGGGTTATATGGTAACTCTATGTTTAACATTTTAGGGCCTGCGAAATGGTTTTCTAAAGTGGATACACAATTTTACAATCCCACCAGCAGTATATGAGAGTTTAATCGCTCCACATCTTAGCCAACACTTCTTATTGTCTGCTATTTTTATTTTTTTATTTTTGCTAGTCTAGTGGGTGTGAAACAGTATCTCACTGTGGTTTTGATTTACATTCTCTAATGACTAATAATGCTGAGAATCTTTTCATGTGCTTATTGTCCATTTGCATATCTTCATTGGATAAATGTCTATTCAAATCCTTTGCCCATTTTTTAAATTCGTCTCTCTATTATTGAGTTGTAAGAGTTCTTCATATATTGTAGATACAAGTCTCTTGCAAGATATATGATTTAGAAATATTTTCTCCCATTCTATGGGCTGTCATTTCACGTTCATGGTGGTGTCCTTTGAAGCATAAAGGTTTTTAATTTTGATGAAGTCTAATTTATCTATTTCTTTTCTACCTTGTGCTTTTGAATCATATCTAAGAAACCACTGCCTAATCCAAGGTCACAAAGATTTACTCCGATGTCTTCTTCTAAGAATTTTATACTTTTAGCTCTTATATTTAGATCTATAACCCATTCTGAGTTAATTTTTGTATATAGTGTGACGTAGGGGTCCAACTTTATTCTTTTGCAGGTAGATATCAAGTATGGTGTCTCAGCACCATTTGTTGAAAAAAACTATTCTTTCCCCCATTGAACTGTCATGGCACTGTTTTAAAAAATAAATTGACCACAAATGTAAGGCTTTATTTCTAGACTCTCACTTGTATTCCATTGCTCTATCTGTCTACTCTTACATCAATAACACAGTTTTGATTTCTGTAGCTTAGTAGTCAGTTTTGAAATCAGGAAATGTGAGTCTTCAACTTTGTTCTTCTTTTTCAAGATTGTGTTTGCTCTTCTAGGTCTCTTGAATTTCCATCTGAATTTTAGGATCAGATCATTAATTTCTACAAAGAAACAGCTGTGATTTTGATAGAGCTTGCATTAAATCTGCAGATCAGGGCCAGCCTCAATGGCCTAGTGGTTAAGTTTGGCGTGCTCCACTTCAGTGGCCTGGGTTCCATTCCCAGATGTGGACCTACACCATTCGTCTGTCAGTGGCCACGCTGTGGCGATGGCTAACATACAAAAAGAGGAAGATTGGCAGCAGATGTTAACTCAGGGTGAATCTTCCTCAGCAAAAAAAAAAAAAAAAGAAATCTGTAGATCAGTTTGGGAGTGTTGTCATCATAACAATATTAAGTCTTTCAATCCATGACTGTGGGATGTCCTTCAATTTATTTAGGTCTTTAAATTCTTTCAACAATTTTTGTAGTTTGCAGAGTATAAGTCTTGCACTTCTTCTGTTAAATTTATTCTTAAGTACTTTATTCCTTTTGATACTCTTGTAAATAAACTTGTTTTCTTAATTTTATTTAAAGATTGTTGATTGCTAGTGTATGGAAATATAATTGATTTTTGTATATTTGTCTTATATCTTGCAACCTTGCTGAACTCATTTATTAATTCTAATAGTTTCCCCCACCCTCCTGAGGATTTTCTATATATAAAATCATGTCATCTATGAATAGAAAGAGTTTTACTTCTTCATTTCCAATCTGGATGACTTTTATTTCTTTTCTGGCCTAATTGCCCTGGTTAGAACCTCAAGTACAATGTTTAATAGAAGCAGCAAGAGCAGACATCCATTTCTTGTTCCTGATCTTAAGAAGAAGGCATTTAATCTTTTACCAGTAAGTAGTATGTTAGCTGTGGGTTTTTCATAGATGGCCTTTATCAGGCCAAGGAACTTCTCTTCAATATCTAGTTTGTTTAGTGTTTTCATCATGAAAAGTTTTTCAATTTTGCTTTTCCTGCATCTATTGAAATGATCATGTGATTTTGTCATTTATTCTTTTAATATGGCATATTACATTGACGGATTTTCATATGTTAAACCAACCTTGCATTCTTGGGATAAATCCCACTGTGTGATGTGTATAATCCTTTTTGTATGTTGCTAAAATCAGTTTGCTAATAGTTGATTGAGAATTTTTGCATCTATATTCATAAGGGATATTGGTCTGTAGTTTCCTTTTCTTGTGATGTCTCTGTCTGGTTTTGGTATCAGGATAAGACAGGTCTCATAATATGAGTTAGGAAGTATTTCTTTCTCTTCTATTTTAGAAGAGTTTGTGAAGGATTAGTGTTAATTCTTTAAACATTTGGAAGAATTCACCAGTAAAGCCATATGGGTCTACTCTTCTTTGTGGGTAGTTTTTGATACTTATTCAATTGCTTTACTTGTTATAGGTCTATTCAGATTTTCTATTTCTTCTTGAGTCAGTTTTCAGTAGTTTGTGTCTTTTTATAAATTTGTCCATTTTATCTATGTTATCTAACTTATTGGCATACAATTTTTCACAGTATTCCCTTATAATCGTTTTTCATTTCTGTAAGTCTGGTAGTGATGTCCCCTCTTTCCTTCCTGATTTTAGTAATTTGAGTCTTCTCTCTTTTTGTCTTGTTCGATATAGCTAAAGATTTGTCAATTTATTGGTCTTTTCAAAGAACCAACTTTTGGTTTCATTGATTTTCTCTATTGTTTTTCTATTCTCTGTTTCATTTTTTTCTGCTCTAATCTTTATCTTTTCCTTCCTTCTGCTTGCTTTGAGTTTAACTTGCTCTTCTTTTTTAGTTTCTTAAAGTGGAATATTATATTATTGATCAATATAAAGTTTTGCTGCTACAAATTTCATTCCTGGTTTAGATGCATCCTATAAGTTTTGGTATGTTGTGTTATCATTTTCATTCATCTCAAAGTATTTTTCAAGAACTTAATAATATATTTTACTTAACCCAATATATCCAAAATATTATCATTTCAATAGGTTATCAATATAAAAAATATTGATGAGATATTTTCCATTCTTTTTTCATAAGTCTTTGAAGTTCAGTGTGTATTTTACATTTATAGCATACCTCAATTCAGGCACTAAATTTTCATCGGAAATATTTTATATGTATTTAGATTTCATGAATTATTCATGTTTAGATTTCATGAAATTTATAATTTAAAAGTAAATTTACATATTGAAGTTGTTCCAACTATACTTAAAAGTTTTCCAAAAACTGAATCAAGTTTCAGTTTTTAAATTTGAATTAATTAAAATTAATAAAATTTAAAATACAGTTCCTCGGCCACACTAGCCACATTTCAAATGCTTAATAGCCACATGTGGCTAGTGGGTACTGTATTGAACAATGCAGCTCTGGAGCTCTTTCTCCATGTTTGAATTCACACAACATTCCTAGGAGGTAGGTATTATTATTCCGCATTTTGCAATTGATGAGCTTGTGCAAGATCAATCAATAAGAGAAGAAACTTACGCAAGATCTCACAGCCAGGAATGGGCTGAACGAACGTAAGCTCTGCTTCTGACTGATCAATGGGCCTTAGCAACGATCGCCTCCTGCTGCAGGGTCACAGGAGTTGCCCCAAAGGCTGTTTCTTCACCCAGAACCACAGAGCAGAATCCTGAGGTTCTCCTAACTGCCTACTTTATAAGCAACTGGTCCAGAAGCCCTGGAAATAGCTCTAGTGAGGAGGGGAAGCTTGAGGTCAATTCCCCACGATCTCTACCATTTTTATGAGTACCCCAACTTTATCACCTGATATCAATCAGGAAAGATGGTCAGAAGGAGGAATGTTTACACACACAGGAATGTGTACCTACTTCCCAACTTCTGTGGGGAGCCACTGAAATTCCTGAAAAGGGTTTAGAGAAACACCCTCCTGTTGTCCCAACAGAGTGGAAAAATCACAGAAATGGCTGCCATGCAAATCAAAACCACAGTGAAGTATCACCTCACACCTGTTAGGATGGCTATCATCAAAAAGACAAGAGATAACAAGTGTTGACATGGATGTGGAGAAAAGAGAACCTTGTGCACTGTTGGTGGGAATGTAAATTGGTGCAGCCACTAGGGAGAACAGTAAAGAAGTTCCTCAAAAAATTAAAAATAGAACTACCATATCACCCACCAATTCCACTTCTGGGTGTATATCAGAAGGAAATCAAACCACTATCTCGAAGAGAGAATCTGCACTCTCATGTTCAATGCAGCTTTATTTACAATAGCCAAGACATGGAAACAACCTAAGTGTTCACTGACAGATGAATCGATAAGGAAAATGTTGTATTTATATACAATGGAATATTATTCAGCCATAAAAAGGAAATCCTGCCATTTGCAACAACATGGATAGACCTTGAGGATGTTTTGCTAAGTGAAATAAGTCAGGTAGAGAAAGACACTATATGATGTCACTTATACGTGGAATCTAAATAAACAGAGCTCATAGAAACAGAACAGATTGGTGATTGCCAGAAAGAGGGAAATGGGTGAAGGGGGTGAAAGTACAAACTTTCAGTTACAAAATAAATAAGTTCTGGGGATGTAATGTACAACATGGTGACTATAATTAACAATATTGTATTGTATATCTGAAAGTTGCTAAGAGAGGAGATCTTAAAAGTTCTCATCACAAGAAAGAACACTGTAACTATGTGAGGTGATATATATTAACTAAACATTGTGATAATCATTTTGCAATATATATATATATCAATCTTTATGTTGTATACCTTAAACTAATACAATGTTATATGTCGACTATATCTCAATAAAACCTGAAAAAATTTTTTAAAAGATAAACAAAGTACACAAATCTTTAGCTAGACTGACCAAGAAAAAAACAGAGTACTCAAATAAATAATATTAGAAACAAAAGAAGAGATGTTACAATTGATACCACACAAATACAAAGGATCATAAGAGACTACTACGAACAATTATATGCTAAAAAACTGGACAACCTAGAAGAAATGGATGAATTCCTAGAAACATGCTGCCAAGACTGAATCACGAAGAAATAGAAAATCTGAACAGACCAATTACTAAGAAAGATATTGAATCAGTAATCAAAAATCTCCCAAAAAACAAAAGTCTAGGACCAGATGGCTTCACTGGTGAATTCTACCAAACATTTAAAGAAAAATTAATACCAATCCTTCTCAAACTCTTCCAAAAAATAAGAAGAGGGAACACTTCCAAACTCATTTTACGAGGCCAGCATTACCCTGATACCAAAATCAGACAAGGACATCACAAGAAAAGAAAATCACAAGCCAATATCCCTGACAAACATATATGCAAAAATCCTCAACAAAATATTAGCAAACCAAATTCAACGGTACATAAAAGGATCATACACCATGATCAAGTGGGATTTATTTCAGGGACACCAAGATGGTTCAACATACACAAATAAATCAATGTGATACACCACATTAACAAAATGAGGAATAAAAATCATATGATCATCTCAATAGATGCAGAAAAAGCACTTAACAAAATTCAACATCCGTTTCATGATAAAAACTCTTAGCAAACTGGGTATAGAGGGAACATACCTCAACATAATAAGGGACATGGATGACAAGCCCACAGATAACATACTCAACAGTGAAAAGCTGCAAGTTTTTCCTCTAAGATCAGGAACAAGGATACCCACTCTCACCACTTTTATTCAACATAGTATTGAAAGTCCTAGCCAGAGCAATTAAGCAATAAAAAGAAATGAAAGGCATCTAAAGCAGAAAGGAAGAAGTAAAACTGTCACTATTTGCAGATGACATGATATTATACATAGAAAACTTTAAAGACTCCACCAAAAAACTGTTAGAACTTATAAACAAATTCAGTAAGTTTTTAGGATACAAAAGGAATACACAAAAATCAGTTGCATTTCTATACACTAATAAGAAACTATCAGAAAGAGAAATTAAGAAAACAATTTCCTTTACAATTGATCAAAAAAAAAGAAATACTTAGGAATAAATTTAACCAAGTTGGTGAAAGATTTGTACACTGAAAACTACAAGACATTAATGAAATAAATTGAAGAAGACATAAATAAATGGAAATATATTCCATGCTCATTGATTGGAAGAATTAACATAAAATGTCCATACTACCCAAAGCAATCTACAGATTTAAGGCAATCCCTATCAAAATTCCAGTGGCATTTTTCACAGAAATAGAAAACAATCCTACAATTTGTATGGAACCACAAAAGACCCCGAATAGCCAAAGCAATCTTGAGAAAGAAAAACAAAGCTGGAGGCATTACAATTCCTGATTTCAAACTATACTACAAAGCTATAGTAATCAAAACAATATGGTATTGGCATAAAAACAGACACACAGATAAACGGAACATTATAGAGAGCCTAGAAATAAACCCACGTATTAAAAAAAGAAAGAAACGGCTGCCATATATTAAGTGCTTACTTTTTGTCAAGTAGACAAAAGAAAGTGTAATGCATTCATTCAATGGAATATCACATGGCCCTTAAAGAGAATGAGAAAAGATGTCTACAATGTATTGTTAACTAAAAAAGACAAGTTTAAAAACAAGATGTGTAGTATGGTCCCCTTTGTGTCATGCCAAACTGCTAACAGAGAAGACCTCTCAGCACGGAGACTGGGTGGGAAGAACTTTCCCTGTGCACTTTATACACTTCATATTGTCTATATTTGTTACACAAGCATATGTTCCTATTTTAGTGTTTTAAAAACTAATCCTAAAGATATTTTCAAAGAAAAAAAGATCATTATATTATTTAATCTTCAAATAACACTAAAGAGGTACAATTATCCCCATTTTACAGATGGAAGAACTGAGGCTCAGAGAGGCAGCATGGCTCGCCTGCCCTAGACTCCAGGACTAGGAAACGGCAGAGAGCCAGGAACGAAGCCAGGATCGTGTGTTGCTGGAGCTCCCAAAGGTTGGAGAGAGCAGCTGGGGCTCAGGGACCCAGGGCCACCCGCCACGCACCGGGGCCAGAGCCTGACCTTGAGGTCCAGGTGCAGGATGTAGTGCTGGTGGAGGTAGTGCACGCCCTCGCAGATCTGCCTGGTGAACAAGACCACATCCAGCTCGGTCAGGTGGTACTTCTCATCTGTGATCCGGTCGAAGAGTTCACCCCCATCCACACTGCCAGGCAAAGGCAGAGGCAGGCACGGACTGAGCAAGGCTCTCAGAGGACTTGTCCACTCTCATCACCAGGGGCCAAAAGAGGTCAATTCAGGTGAGCCCGGGGGACACTGCCATCTAAAGTTTAATGGGGACCTCTCCCCTGGCCCACTCCCAGCTCAGAGTGTGGGTGGTAAAAGGAAGTGAGGGGCCAAAGGGAAGACTGGGCTGGTTTTCAGTGCTGATAGTCCAAGCTCACTCTGGACACCCTAGGCCAAGGCTGCAAACGCAATGGCCTACAGGGGCCCATTAGTACCTACACGGCAAGAGCTCCAATGGGCAAATCAGACCAGATGTGACACAAAAGTTTTCTTAAAACACACAGCCCTTAGTCTATCTTTTGTTTTTCTACTTTTGATAGAGAAATGAATGATAAACGTTTCACTCTCCTCAGCCCTACCAGAAGGAAAATAGCAACACAAGCACAAAAATAAATGTCCCCTGAGCCCTTGGCCTCAGTGTCAGGGGCAGTTGGGAGTGGTGGGGACTGGGGTAAATGGGAGACTGCTTGGCCTGTCTCCAGAGGTCAGCCACTATGAGCTCTAGGACGCTGTTTCTAGCTGGAAATGCAGGTCCTGCATTACTAGATCTTTTATATTTTCAAGAAAAGCCGGATATCTAGGTTTTAACGTGAAATTTCCCAATTTCCAACTGTTAACCAAATGAAATTACTGAAATTGTGTCGGCCAAACCGACATACATCTGCAGGTCAAATTAGGCTCACTGGCTACCGGTTTGCGACAAAGAGTTTTGTCCTCCATGCTCCATGCTGGAGGTCAAGCAGAGAAGGTAATGACGTTCTCTGGATGTCCCGGAGAGGGAGAGCTCTGCCTAGGAGCATGGCCCCACGCCCCAGCCCTGAGCCCTGGCTGCCTGGAGAGCCACCGCCCCCGCTCCCAAGACACTCACTACTCCATGACGAGAGTAAAGCTGTTCTTGCTCTCGAAGGCGTCGTAGAGCTGGATCAGGTTCACATGGCTGAGCTGGTTCATGATGTTGATCTCGTTCTTCACATCCTCCTTGCGGAGCCAGAGGGGAGAGAGTTTCCAAGAAATGGGTAGGAAGAGGAGCCAGCCGCCCCTCCCAAGATACATGCACATGACCGCCTGCCCTGCACCCTTGTTCCTGCTCTCACACCAGGTCTCCTCGACTCACTACCCAAACCCAGTCCTTACAATGGAAGGGACCGTAGTCCAACCCACCCATTTCACGGATAGGAAACCTAAGGCCCAAGAAGAAAATCTGGGAGTCCAGGAGGACTCTGTTGCCCAGGTGTGAGGTGACCTGTTGACTAGAGTGTGGGAGTCATGGAAAAGAGGCAGGAAAGGTAGTTGGGTTTTCTGCTCAGCATGAAGGGGCCTGGGGCAATGTGGGGCCCAGGGGGATCAAGAGGGAAGTAAAGGAGTCCTGAGCTCGGCCAGAGGCACAGCCGGCCCAGGGGAGATGCCTCACCCGGTCCTTGGCGCTCTTCACTTTGATGATCTTGGCTGCCAGTGAGAGGCCTGTGGACTTCTCCGTGCACCTGTGGACCTGGCCAAACCGGCCCCTGGAGAGACACAGTGACACAGAAGGCTGAGAACCCAGAGGCTCACTCCACACATGGGGGCCATCCTCACCCCGTGCCCTGGGCTTTCTGGTCCTACCACACACCACGGGGATGGCCCTGCTCCCCAGAGGCACCCTAGTCATCCCCTCACACCACACAGGCTACCTGAAACCTAGAGAAGAGCTTCTTCACCTCACACCCGGTGCTCTATCCTGCACCCCAGGAGACTCCGCCTCACCCCACACCACCCAGTCTGTCCTGCACCCCGGGGGACATCCCCCTCACCCCACCTACTGTTGGCTCTCCGGCCACCTCCAGTATCTGGTGCCCATACTGTGTGGGCCCTCTTGCACCTACACTTCATCTCATTCATCCCATGTGGGCTCCCCTGCACTCTCGGGATGTTCTCTTCTCCCCACTCTCGGTGGGCTATCCACTCACTCTCATGCTGTGTGAGGTAGCCCACTCCTGGCCTTGGCTCAATCCCCAGTTCCTGAGCACCATCCAGCAGCACCCCAACTCGGTCCTCCAGGTGTCTCTGCCCCTCATCATGGCAGGAGACCCACTTACCCTCCCAAGACCTCGTGTTGGCACACCGCATACCCTGCTGAGGTCGAGGTCTCCTTGACACTCACCACCCGGTGTTCAAAAGGAGCAGGTGGGGCCGGACTGTCATCTGTTCAGGAGACAATAGCCTCTGAGCCTCCTCTGTGTAGCCCACACCTTTCACCACCCATCCAAGACCCACTTGGTTCAAGCGACAAGCTCTTCACCCTTCTCAAGGATCATCTCCTTCAAGTCACCCAGTTGATAGAGGAGGAAGCAAAGTCTCAGAGACGTGAGGTGCCTGGCCCAAGGTCACAGAGTCAGTCAGTGACAGATGGGATTCAAACCCAGGTCTCCCAGCACCTACGACAGTGTCTTTGCAAGATGGAAAAGTCACGTCCAGTCAAGAAGGGGTCCCGGGTGGGTCAGGTGGCCCGCAGGAAACAGAAGGCATACTTGGACAGGGCGATCCAGCTGAGTTGAACGACAGGACTATGTTTAAAGGTCAAGCAGGGCTCTGGAGCAGCGAGGCGTGCGACAGGGAGACAGCTGGAGAAACAAACACCCACCCTCTCTCCCCTCTCAGCCCCGGATCTCCCGACAGGGCAAGAGTGCCCGCGATGCAGCCCCGAGCGGGTCAGCTCCCCAGGCATGGGACGGGGGCTGGCAGGGGCAGGGGGTCTGGAGGGGAAATGGAGGACGCCAGCACTTGGAAAGATAAAAATGGTTTAGGTTTTTAAAAGAAATCTTGTCCTTCCAAGGTGATATGAACCTGGAAATGTTGCACGAAATAAACGAATAAAACAGAGTAGAGAAGACGCACCACACACAACAGCATAAACCTGTTTGTGCATTAAGGGCCGGAAGACACCATGGTGGGAAGTTGACACTCGCTCAGGGCTTGTCACGGGAGCACTCAGAGTGTCCCACAGACGACTCCAGTACCTCCGAAACCGCACCCCGGGCAGTGGAAATCCTGCTCTTTGCTCTCAGTTTGTCTTACTACGAGAGACTCTCTGCTCCCCAAAGGAGAATATGGGATTTGCTTTGAGAGCATATTGCTCACTCTTTTTTGTGTCTGCAAAGGTAAGCCCTGGGCCCTAGACTAGAAGGGGGTAACATTTGTGGGGTTTGTGGTTTTTCCTTGTTCTGGCCCGCCAGAAACGCTGGGAGAGCCCGGATTCCGGCTATGTCACAGAGATTCCACATCCAGAATCCTAGTCTGAAGTTCCCTTTGCCGCAAGGTAAACCACCTTCTGCTCTGGGCGCTGTCCAGCTGCAAGGTTTACACGCAGGGTCCAGGAGCCCGACAGCCAGGGTCAGAGCCTGGCTCATCAGCACTAACGCTGTGACCTTGAGTGTGTTTGTTAACCTCTCCTACGTTCCACTTATCCCACTTGCGGGCCTGCGAGGGTGAACGTCAGCTTGGCACACAGGGAGTCCTCAGTTAACACTGGCTTTATCTCAAGTCTCACAAAAGACTCTCAAGTCACAACCTGCTCTCCAGCTGTGTATCAGGAATTAAGAGAGGCCCGTGTCCACATTTGGACCAAGTCACACAAGGGGAGAGGAAGCAGCAGGGGATGTCAGTATGACAGGGCAACTGCAGAGCCCAGAAGTGGGAAGGGACACCACAATGACCTGCAGAACACACAGTCCTTCCTCAGGGACTCCCAGAAATTCTTGGGCAGGGAATCAGCAAAGGGCGGCCTGCCTGCAGCCACACTGAATGAGGGCTCGGACAGAGTGGGGTATGACCCTAAAGGTTAGAGCAGTTGAGGGTCTTTGGGTGACAAGAACACAAGGACACCTCCCACCACAACTGGGACAGAAAGCAAGTCAGCGGCCTCACCATCCCTCCCTATCCTGGGTGAGAGTCAGTTCACCAGGGGCAAGTGGCTGAGAGTGGGTTACGTACATCAGTTAACGGATTTGCTCTCTAACAAGAGCCTCTGTCTCAACCCAGAATGATACCAGCAGCAGCAGACAGGCAGGTGGCTTTGAGAAACCCACCCAGTTGAGCAGGCTCTGGCCAACCCAAGCTCGGCCGGTGGCATCTCTGCGCCTTGGTCTCCAGCCCCGGATGTATGGGCAGGCGGCTGAGGACTCCCCCGGACCCACATCCTCTCTCCCTGGAAGCTTCAGGGAGGCCTCCCTGGAGTAGGCCCTCCATACCCACACCTCAGGGCACAGGCAATGGCCTCACTTACCCAGAACCACGCTGCCAGCCTCGGCTCCCACGGGCGTCCTCCTTCCTGCTTCGGCCCCGCCCGTGCCCCCGGCTGCGCAGTCCTTCCTGGGCTCAGGGTTCCCTGCTCCCGGGTCTTTGTCCTGCTGCAGGCCTGGGGCCCCAGCATCGTCTCCCCTGTCCCTCCAGGCCCCGCTTGGTCCCATGGTGGGCGCAGGCCTGAGCCCCTGCTTCTCCTCAGCCTTCGCTCCCCTGTCGCTGCTCTGCTCCCGCAGCAGGGAAAACTTGCTGGCTCCTTTTGGGATCTGCTTTCCCAGCTCAGTCCCAGGAGCCTGGGGGCAGTACCCAGGCCCCAGAGGGTCCTGCTCACCTGGACGGGCGGCTGCCGGAGCCTCCGCAAGGGGCGTGGGTCTGAGGCTGCCCCCTCGTGTCACCAGCAGCTCCCCGGGAGTATCCGTCTCCTGCACGTGGATGGAGATCCTGGAGCAGAGAGAAATACGGCTCTGAGGTTAAAACAAGCACTCTGGGGGCAGGCTGGTGGCACAAGCGGTTAAATGCGCGCACTCTGCTGAGGCAGCCCGCGGTTCGCCAGTTTGGATCCCGGGCACGCACCAACGCACCACTTGTCAGGCCATGCTGTGGCGGTGTCCCATATAAAGTGGAGGAAGACCGGCACGGATGTTAGCCCACGGCCAGTCTTCCTCAGCAAAAAGAGGAGGATTGGCAGATGTTAGCTCAGGGCCGATATTCCTCACACACACAAAAAAACAAACAAAAAAAAACAAGCACTCTGGAGGCAAAACACACCTGGGTTCAAATGCCTGCTGCTGCCACTCCCAACCACGGCCTCTGGGCCTTAGTTTTCTTGTCTGTGAAACAGGCCGCTGAGGGTTGTTATGATAGCAAGAGTTAGCTTGTGGTTGGAACCAGCAGACTCCACTGCCTGCCCCTCTGGGTCCCTGCCCACCTCTGCCCAGACAGGACACCAGGGGAGAGGCCAGCTTCAGTAACGTATGGTGCCCTCCACTCTCTGTGTTCCACTGCAGAGCGTCCAGGGGAGGCTTGAAGCAACCTGCAGTGGACAAGGGTGGGCACAAGCCACCACGAGGCCCCTTGGAAACCTGCTTCCGCCCAGGAGGACTGTAGCCTGCAGGCAGGAGATCTGGGCCCTTCCCACCCTTCTCTGGCCTCAGTTTCCCTTTCAGTTAAATGAAGAGAAGAGTGCACCAAGTCAACCATCACACTGGAAGCTCCATGTCAGACGTATTTTATTAAAACCAGGCAATCACACATAAGAACCTGGACTTCCTGTTTTCTTGCACAAATAGAGCTGGCTTGCTGGGCCTGTGTGCCCGCATAGCTGAGGAGCAGCTCTCCCCTTCCCCACAGGCCCCTCTGCTCCCTGGGAATGCCGCTGGGCCCACTTCACCCATTTTCGTTACCCAGACCCTGCAGCATCGGGATTTGGGACCCCAGCTGGAGGTTGGGAAGGCCCTCTGAACCCTGTCATTCAGAGGGAAGGACCCTGACCTAGAAGCCATGACCCCCCAGGGTTCAGACTCTCCCTCTCAGAGTTGCCCCCACTCTGACTGCCTGTCACAACCCTAATGCCGGGGTCTGTGTGTGTTGGGGCAGGGGTGAGGGGGTGAGTGTCTGGTGTGGACTGAGTCTCAGGAAGGAGCCAGGCGGCCTCCATTCTGGTCTTAACTCTGCCACCGGGTCCTGTACGACTTTGACCAAGTCTAGCTGCAGCTCCCTCTTCTGACAGACAGCTACGGTAATCCCTTGCAGATGTGCTGGGAGTCGACTAAGAGAGGAAAGCACGAATGCAGGAGGCTTCCAAAGTGGTCCAGCCACTGTGGAAAACAGCATGGCCATTCCTCAAAAGTTTAAAAATAGAATTATCATATGATCCAGCAATCCCACTTCTGGGAATATATCCAAGAGAATTGAAAGCAGAGTCTCAAAGAGATATGTGTACATCCATGTTCACAATAGCCAAATGTGGAAGCAACCTAGCATCCATCAATGGATGGAGAAACAAAATGTGGCCTATACATACACTGAAATATGATTCAGCCTCAAGGAGGAAGGAATTCTGACATGTGCAACTACCTGGATGAACCTGAAGGACATTTTGCTGAGTGAAATAAGCCAGTCACAGAAAGAGTGATTCCACTTACATGAGGTACCTACAGTGTCAAATTCATAGAGACAGAAAGTAGAACGGTGGTTGCAAGGGTTTGGGGGGAGGGGGAAATGGGGGTTGTTGGGTACAGAGTTTCAGATTTGTAAGAGGCAAAGCTTCTGGAGAGTCGTGTCACAACAACATGAATATACTTAACACTACTGAACTGTACACTTAGAAATGGTTAGGATGGTAAATTTTATATTACATGTTTTTTACCACAAAAAAAAGTAAGGCCTTTGCCCCGCAGCTGAAGGCCAGGCCCCTCTCTGAGCCTCTGAGGGCAGCACTGCTCACAAGAGCGCCTGCCTCGGCAGCCTGCTCACACGTGCCCCTCAGGAGTGAGGGTGGCGTGGTGATCACAGGGTAGGATGGCAAGGGTGGCATCCAAGCCAAGCTCAGGCCTCATCTAGCCCGAGGGACGCGGGAAACTGCTAGAAGCCAGCTGCCGGAAGAGTACCCAGGTGGTCAGGTGGCCAGCTGAGAAGGCCAATGGTCACTGCTGTCCCCCTTGGTCTTCTCCCCTCGGGGGCACGGGATGACCCAAAGGCACTGCATGCATTCCCATGCCACCTTCAGGGCCCGGAGCTTTCCTGCGTCCCACACAGCACCCAGGGCAGGCTTCGCTAATCCACTGCCGACTCAGTCCCACCACGTCCAGTTAGGGCCTCGGGAGCCTCACACAGGCAGCCACTGCCAATCAGAGCCCACGCTTGAGTTCAAACCTATTTTCCTCAAAACATACCCATGTGCTAGCTGAGGAAGGGCAGGAAGGGATCCCCCTGAGCCCTGTGGCAGGGCTGGGTGCCTGAAGTTCAGCTCAGGGCTAACACCGACACAGAGACTTTTCTCCCTCACGCAGAACCCTTTTGGGGCCCCTAATGAGTTCACGGGAAGTTCAGCCCATCTCCCGATTCCACATTTAGAGCCTGGCCGCGATCCAGGTGTGCCTGCCAGGAACCCTCCCTCTGGCTGGGTAAGTCTCCAGGGGGCTCCCATTTCCTTCCAGAACAAAGGCAGGTAAAGGATCTGGGCTTCTCTGCCAGTCGCCACAGCACACACAGACACCAGCTCCCTTCCCTGAGCCAGGCCTCGGGGGGCTCGGTGACAGGTCAGAACAGCCAGGGCAGGTGCGGGAGGGCACCATGCCCCTTTGAGAGAAGCCCAGGAAGCCCTCTTAAGCGGGCTACCCTGGGGAATGAGATGCGCTGTCCCCCAGGGCTGGCGAGTACAAGCCTGGGGAGAGCTGGCAGTCAGCAGGTTCTGGCTCTTCATGCCCTGTGTCTGCTGAGAGTAGGTCCTGAGGCCATGTGTTAAGAGTTAGATCACAACCCCACCTCCAGGACTCCAAGCACAATCCTCCTGAAAGCTCCCCTGGATTGACTCAGCCCACACAGACTCCCACATCTGAGTGCCCATCCTTCTCTCCCCACCATAGCATTTAGGACTTAACTAAATGCTGACCTGGGAGAGCGGGATGCGCAGTGGTTAGGGACACAGATTCTGGAATCCAATAACGTGGGTTCAGATTCCAACTCTGTAGATCCCTAGCTGTGTGGCCCTGGGCACTCTAAGCCTGCTTCCTCACCAATAAAATAAGGACGCCAACCACAGCTGCCTCCTGCAGATGTGGTGAGAATAAAAGGAGATGATCCTGCGAAGTGCTCCACCAACGCCCGGCACGTGGGGGTGTCTGGTGAGCCCCAGCCTTTAGCTGTCATTACTGCTCTGAGAGCTGGGGACGCTCAGTCCTGCTCCACACTGGAGTCGCCTGGGGAGCTTGTAAAAACAACAATGCCTAAGCCTTGCTCCACACTGAATTAAGCAGAATCTCTGGGCATCGCTATTTAAAACTTCCTTCCAGGGGACTCTAATGGGGGCCAGGTGAGAGCCAGGGCTCCGGGCTCTCCGAGCAGAGCCTAGGCCTTCTCTGGCCTTCCCCTCAGGAGGCCAGCCCAGCGCTGTGCAGACAGTAGACATGCAACCTTTGCAGCTGGTTGCAGCTGGTCCCCCGCCATGTTCCCGTTGAGGGGCTGCAGCGAGTTCCTTCCCTCGCCCGGCCTGGAAGAGCATCCCTTACCTCGGATGCGCTTCTCCACCACCGTGAGCTGCCTTGGCCTTGGCTGAGGGCCCTGATGTCAGCCTCATGCCCCACTCTGAGGGCCGAGGGTCAGGCCTGATGGACGACGTTCCTCGTCCTGCACCTGGTGCAGCCTCCTGGCTGGCAGGGGCCTCAGTGACCTTGTCGAGTGCCGTGGACAATTCCAGGCCAGTCCCGGGGTTCTTGCTGGGCGCCCAGGGAGCGTTGGCTTCCCCCTCTGTGGGCAGCAGCAGGTGGCCAGAGGGCACCTGGGCTGGGCCAGGAACTCCATCTCCCTGCCCTGGTGGGGCCTCTGCCTGGGTCAGGAGGTCAGATCCCATCCCTGAAGTGTTGACGGCGGGCAGCCTCTCCACTGTCCCCTCTGGCAGGTCCACCTTCTGGCTCTCTACAGGAAATAGGCAGGAGAAAAATGTACTCCCCTTGGAAGAACCTTTCCCAAAGATATTGCAAAGAACATGCCGAAGGCCATTTAGTGTAGCATGTGTATAACAGCCAGACTGGACACAACCCAAACGACCTTCCGTAGGGAGCTTGGTTCATACAAGGAGTGCTGCATCAAAAAGCCATAAAAAAGGAGAATGAATATCAATATATGTGGATATGGAGTGATCTCGGAATACACTGTAAGTGAAAAAAAGCAAGGTGGAGAAAAATGCGTACAGTATGCTTCTGTTCATCTGAGGGAGGGTGTGTGTGTGTGCACGCATGTGCACACGCATATAATCACATATAATGTGGTCTAACGAGGCTGGATCTCAAAGGAAAGATAAAACAAAAGCTTTTTAAATGGTTACCTATCGGGGGCGGGGACGGCTGAAACAGGATGCAGGACACAAGGAAAGAAGCTGGACTTCTCTTCATATACTTTGTTTTGTCAATGTGACTTTGGAATCATGTAAATATTATGCAAAATTATAAAAGAAAATTAAACTTTAAAAAAGCCATCCAGGGGCCGGCCCAGTGGCACAAGCGGTTAAGTGCACACGCTCTGCTGCTGGCAGCCCGGGGTTCACTTGTTCAGATCCCGGGCGTGCACTGCGACACCGTTTGGCAAGCCATGCTGTGGTGGCATCCCATATAAAGTGGAGGAAGATGGGCATGGATGTTAGCCCAGGGCCAGTCTTCATCAGCAAAATAGAGGAGGATTGGCAGATGTTAGCACAGGGCTGATCTTCCTCACCAAAAATAAATAAATAAATAAATAAATAAGTAAATAAATAAATAAATAAGCCATCCATAAAAACTTAAAGCAAAGTGAAATGTCGAGGTGGCGGCACAGCCTACACAGAGAGGAACTGTTCTACGCGACTGTAAGACATCGCAGCTGACTGTTCAACTCTAGTGGTTATACACGAAGGACAAAAAGAATTGCAAAAAAAAGCAGCAGCTTCGACAGTTTTTCAGTAGTCACACTGTTGGTGGTGTTGACGTTTTTATTCTGAAACTGTCATGTGCGCAATGTAGGATACAGCAAATGGGGTCCCACTCACCTTCCCAAGGCCCCCTGATTTCAGCCTGCACGCCTCTGCTGCTCAGCCCGTGCTTTGGTTTTGCTCCTTTCTCTTCCACTCGCTCTTTGCTCTAAAAGAACAACCGTAAAAACTACCATCATGACCATCAACACCATCATCATCATCGTTCAGGCCACAAATGTCTGTTGAGCACCTACCATGTGCTTGAGACAGAAGTACTCAGGGTATTTCACGCAGTCTCCCAGTAACACTAGAGGGTAGACACTGCTATTGTCATTTTAGAGATAAGGTCACTGAGGCTTTTCCAAGGTCATAACTTAAAAAAGGAGAAGCCCAGATTCAAACCCAGAATCAAGTCCTTTCCAATACACCACCATATTGCCAGGGAGGGGCAGACCGAGCCCCTGACAGGGCAGTCGAAATAGGCTGGACCTCAAAGCACTTAGACCAGTGATGGAAAATAAATTTAATCTTGGAAGGCAACTCAGATCAATCGGTCATGACTACTAGAGTGTTGGCTTGGGTTGAACTCTGAAGTCAGATAAATCCAGGCTTAGGTGAGGAAAGAGTGCCACGATCAACTCATGATGCCTGCCTGGGAGCTGGGCGGGGGGCGTCCCACAGCCACCCCTTTCCAGTGCAGAGGGATAGCCAGGAGCACGGACACGTGGACTCTTGGGACAGACTCACTTGGTTCAAACCCCACCTTCACCACTTGGCCAAGATTCTTAAAATTTCTGCATCTCACTTTCCTCATCTGTGAAACAGGGAGAACAACATTATCTACTTGTAGAGTTAGTGGGAGGGTTGGGGGAGTTAACTTGTAGAACTTTCTGAGAAGTGTGCCCAGCACACGGTAAGTGCTCAATAGCGCTGGTGATTTTGTCCTGCCTGAGACAGAGAGCCGTCCGTGTTCAACGAGCTGATCGTGTAAGGACACTCAGAGCCCAGCCCAGAGAAGCTCTCAGCAGCTCTTCTTGAACTCTGCATGGGCCACACCACACCAGTGCCTGGCCTGCACGTGCTCTTACTCCTAAAATAGTCCAGAGCACTCAGTATTTCTAGATTGCTGGGTCCCCCTGGCTTCTGGGGGTGCTGAGCCTTTGACCTGTGAAGCCCCTAAGACTTCTCCTGGCACTGGTCACAGCAGCAGGTCTGGTCTCAGCCCAGAGCCGAAGGCCCCTGCAGCCCCTTGTCTTGCCTGGGCCACAGAGCCCCCTGGGAGTCCAGAAGCCAAAAGGAGTTCAAGACACATTTTGTTTGGCTTGCACAGCAATTTAAAATTTTTAATTTATCAACATTTTAAATCTAGGAGATTTTTACATTAAAATTTTAAGTTCCCTTTTAGGGTGACAGAATCTTTCTATATTTAAGATTGTGGTGGTGGTGATTTGGGTGTTACACATTCGTTGAACTGTATACTTCGACTGTGCATATTTTGTTGTGTATGTGCAGTTTATTGTATGTAAATTATACCTTAATAAAACTGATTAGAAAAAAATTCCAGGTTCCTAGCTTCTCTTGAAAAAATCTGAAGATCTGGCAACTCTAGGCCCACATGGCAAAAAGTGGCTGGAGCAGTTCCCTCTAACTGGGGCACCATAGCTCTCACCACTCTGGAATGTCTCCCTGACACTAAGGATGAGGGTTGGTTCTACTGTTTTTCCTATACTGCGCCCGCTTCTCTCAAACCCATTACCTGCTCATGCCTTTGGGATTCCACGACACCAAGCTTTGCCCTCTTAATGGTAACAGCACAACACAGGGGAACACCTAGCCCAGCGGCTGGCATGCAGTAAGCACTTAACAAATAAAAGCTGGCTGCTGTCATCATGACTATCACCAATATCATCACCGGGACCCGGACCCCGCTCAGCAGAGACCTCTCCCCTGGCCTCTTTCTGCAGACAGTGTCCTGCCAGCCGCATAGTGGCGGGGCTGGAAGCATGATCATGGCCTGCCTCCTTTTTCACCCCACGGGTAGAGAGGGACTCGAACAGACTGTCCTTTGGCAGACCTTGTTGGGCTCAGATTGTCCTCTCCCTCCCTCTGTCTTGGGTGTAGGCAGGCACACACACAGACACACACGCACACACACACGCACGCACACAACACATACAAAGCTGGTTTTGTCTTCAGGGCTCAACCTTCTGGTTCCTGCCTTGTCCGGCGCGCCCAGAGGAAGGAGGAGACCCCAAACACCATTCTAGAGGACTGATGTCTTCTGAACAGCTGGACCATGATTTGAGCTGAGCCTGAACTTGTCCTTCATGAGAGAGCACCTGGTTTCTAGTAATAAGCTAATTCATTATTACAACCACAGGAAGTGCCACCAGGCACTTCAGAAGACTCGAAGAGGACCTTCACAACGTCCTGGCATAATTTTCAAATATAACAGCCAGTGCTGGGATTTAATCAATTCCACAAATGATTACTATGCCCCTACTCTCTTAGGAAACACAAAGAGGGTCTCCAGAAAGTCTCCATAATGCACCATTTTCAGCACCAACAAGGTGTTAAACAGCTGGGGCTCTACTTAAGGGCCCATTCTTGGACATCTCCTGTGAGACCCATCCTCGCTGCAGTACACAGAGGGAAGTAGAAGCCTCATGGCATGCGCCAGTAAGGAGCTGACAGCCTGATTGGGAGACGAGATCCAAACCTATAGATGGTTGCTGAGATGTGTCTTAAACACAAGGACCAGAAGAGAGCTCAGCCACTTGCCACTGGAGCAGTACAGAAAAGAAATGTTCCAAGAACTCAGAAAACAGAAAGTTCTATGACTTCATCCTATCGAGAAATGCCTAAATGTCTGCAACATATATGACAGCACATTTCAGTAATATATGAAGAGCTTTACAAATCAGTAAAAAAAAAAAGGCAAAAAACTGAAATATGAAAGAGGGAAAAGCACATGAGCAGGCAGTTTACAGAAAAATATGAAAGGTTTTAAATCTGTGAAAGATGCTCAAACTTCTAGTAAAATAAATACAAATAAAAACTACAATGAGATATACCATTCTATCTACTCTTGGTTATGTTTGAAATTTTCCATAATAAAAAGTTTTGAATTTTTTTTATGAATTAAAAAAAAGAGTTAGCTTTAAGAGGCATATAACCAATTGCCTTATTTGAATCTTGACTCAAATGAAAAAAAAGCATAAGATGATCAGGGAAATTTGAACACTGACTTTGGTCATATTAAGTTACTGTTTAGGTATGATAATGGTATCGTGATTATGCTTTTTAAAAGAGCCTTTAAGGGCCAGCCTGGTGGCGTGGTGGTTAAGTTCGCGCACTCTGCTTTGGCGGCCCAGGGCTCGCGGGTTCAGATTCTGGGCACAGACCAAAGCACCACTCATCAAGCCGTACTGTGGCGGTGTCCCATATACAAAATAGAGAAGGATGGGCACAGATGTTAGCCCAGGGCCAATCTTCCTTGGCAAAAAGAGGAGGATTGGCAATGGATGTTAGCTCAGAGCCAGTCTTCCTCACAAAAAAAAAATAAAGGAGGCTTTATCTTTTAGATATAAATGTTGAAGTGTTTATGGAGGAAATGATCCAATGTCCCACATTTACTTCAACATAATCTGGAAAGAAGGAAGTGAGTGGGGGAATAGATGAAACAAAATTGGCCTCCAGTTACAGGCCCTTGGGGTTCATTATACCAATCTCTATTTTTAAAAATGTTGGAAAATTTTCATACTAAAATGTAAAAAAAGCCACATGCACAATAAGATCTCAGTTTTTATTCACCAGACAGGTGAAGAGGAGGAAGACTATCCTCTACCCACTCTGGGTCCTTTCTGGCTGGGGTACAAATTAAATTGACATGAGACCGAATAGCAGGAGAAAATCAAACAAAGCTTTATAACATGTATACATGGGAGAAACCAGAGAAACTGAGTTTCTTGACAAGATGGCAGAGGTTCTCACCTTAAATACTACCTTCAGCTAAAGACAAAGGAGGATGTTGGGGGTGGGGGGAGTCAGCAATGGGAGATTGCCAGAAAGGCACAGTACACAAGAGTATGCAGATTTAACTCCTTGCCTTGCGCACTAAGAGTTTCTAAAGATAAGGTCGTTCCCCCTTCTTCCTGGTACAGAGAGGGAGACACTTTTACAAATGGAGATTTCCCTTACAAATGTAAATTTCTCTTACAAAGGACAACTTCTACTTTTACTTGGAATGGGCTTAGCAAGGACCCTCCCAGTCTATCCATACCGAGAGTTAAATTCTTTTAAGCAGTTAGTGGGGGGGGGGGGCACGGCATGTCAAAGTTTCTTTCAGAGAAAATAATCAAGGTAAAGAGACATTTTGAGGTGGGCAATTCTGATCTCCCACACAGGCAAAGAATCAAAAAGTTGGATAGCATGCATTGTTACCAAAAGTGGAGGCAATAAGCATTCCCATACGTCATCAATAGGGGACTAAGTTAGAATAACTTCTTTGAAGGTCAGTTTTACAAATTTACCCTTTGGCTTAGCACTGCCACTTCTAGGAGTGCTTCATACAGATAAATTCACACTTCTACAGATACTTACTGCATCACTATCTATAATAGCTAAAAATGAGAAACAATATAAACAAACAATGATATGGGACTGATTAACAAATTGAGACACATCCCCCAAAAGGGAGAGCTCTACAAGTTTAAGAAACAAGAATGAGGAAGCTTTCTAGTTACAAATATGAGATAATGCCCAAAATGTATTAGGTAAAAAAAAAAAAAAAAAAAATCAAAGCCAGAACAATGTGAATAACATTTGAGTGAAACAAAACAAAATGAAGAGGTGGTATATACGCCAATGTGCTGGTAGGTAAACAGACTTCATCTGGATGGTCTCACAGGACGCTGGGCCTGTGACTGCTCGGGGAGCAGGGTTGTCCTGGAGATGAGGAGACAGAGCAGGAGACGTGTGCTCTTTATACCACATGAATGGTTTTTGCCATGTGCATATATTAGATTAATTTTCCTTTTTAAAGCTGAGGTTGGTTGTAAGTGGCAAGAGCAGAAGGTCACATCTCTCACCGGGGAGGTGCAGAAGGCAGGGAGCTGGGGTGCAGGGGGCATGCTCTGGGAGAGGCTGCAGGGCAGGAAGGGGAAGGGGGCAACAGGGTGAGCCCTGGCCTGCTAGGGCTGGGGAGGGATGGCAAACTCCTGCAGCCCTGCTCCTGAAAGCCTCAGTAGCTGACAGAGTCAAGCCCAGACTCCTGTGGAACCCAGATTATCTCTCACCAGAGGCTGGTGGGTCGCTGCAGGGATCTGAAATGGTGGCTCCAGGCCGTCTAAGTGTTGCTAAGTGGCTGATCCTTAGCTGTTCCCAAACAGAGTGTTGCCTCCACACACCTCACACACACACACACACACATACACACACACACACACAAAAAAACACCGCCACCCGAGCCAAACTTCCATTAGCCAGTGGGGGTGATTATGCAACCCTTGGGAACAGCCGCTCCCAGAAATGCCATACTCCGCCCCCAGGCTCCGGCTCCTGCCTGTGCTGTGTCCCCCTGGGTCACTGTCAACACTCATCCCCCCACAGGCAGCTGCACGCTCCGCCCACTCCAGGACAGAGCACAGGGTTGGGGACAGGAAGGGAGAAGGGTCTGGGTTCCTGAGCGGGGGCTCAGTCAGGGTACACTGATGCTCCCCACCTGTCTCCCACCCCAGGTGTGAAGGCACAGAAAGGAGCAGAAGAAGTCACCGGGATGTCCAAGGAAGGTCATGGTCCTCCTCCCCCTAATGGCCGGTTTATCCCCCACTTCTAAGTGCCCTGGACCTGCCCAAGGCCCCACAGACCTCGACAGGGCACCTCCTCTTCCTTTCCCTGGGAAGAGCAGCCAGTTAGTGTCCTGTCTGCAAATCTACCTATGACCTTTAAGGTTCTGTCTTTCCTTTTCCCCATCAACAGATCACGCAGGAGGCACAAGGAGACAACAGCCCCCCACCTCTCCTGAGACTAGCCACCTGGCCAGTTTCCCAGCCAGGGCCTCTGGGCCTCCCTTCCAGCCAGAAGGGCACGGCAGGGAAGCAAGAACCAACCTCCGCAGGGCCATCAGCGTGGCTTCCTTTCCTCCAGGGGATACTCCCTTGCATGATGAAATCCACCACCTTCGAGTTCTGGAACACGGCCCCCACCAGAGCTATGGCCTTGTCCACGGCCACCATCATCCTGAAGAGGGCTTCGAGTCTGGCGCCATGCTGGGCGGCATCCTGCCGCACGGCCCTCACCACCTCCAGGACCTCTGGCCATCCAGCCTGCACATCAGCTGGAGGAGTGTGGTCAGCTCCAGCCGGGCCCAGGACCCGGGAGGCCTCCAGCCGGTGCAGGCCTTGCTGCAGGTGGCCCATGCCTTGGTACATGCACTGCAGTTTCTCCGTGACGTCTTCTTGGAAATGCAAGAGTTTGTCAACCTTCTCGTTCAGCATGTTAAGCTTTTTGTCCACGGTAGTTAAGCAGGTCTTGCCCGACGCCGGCAGCCCCGGGGTCCCCAAACTCTCCTTGGAGGCTCCTGACATCCTGATGCAGGCTTGACAAGGGCAAGGAATCGGAAGAGCTACAGACCCCTGGTTTCACTTGGGCAGTGGTGTCTGCAAGCCCATTGTTCTTGGTAGCTAACAGCCTGGCCCTGCAGTGCCAACCCACACGGATCGCCCGGGTTGTTCAGGGAGCCCAGGGGACCGGCCTCTCTCTGAGCCTTTGCCTTTCTTATCTCCTACTCTGCTGTGGGCCATGAGTGACAGGCTGGGTTTGGCCCAGACCTTTCGCCTTGGGGCCCCTTTGACATCATGGCAACATTTAACATTCCTCTCTGAGAGGCTGCTGATGGATAATTATTTTAAGAATTTATCCAGGGCAGGCAGGAGTTCGGGTAGCTAAAACTAAAGGTTGGAAGAGGAGGGGTCCTTTAGGTAATGGACCTGAAAGCTGGCCTCTACAAGGCGCCTCCGGGATCCCAGGGCAGAGTAAGACCTTCAGAGGCTCAGAGCACCAAGGCGCAGACGGTGTCCTACCCGCCGCACACACATCTAATTCACAATAAAAAGCGAGACCAAATATAAATGTGAGGCCACTCTGGTTTTTGCCACGATGAAAATTTTGATGCTTCTGCAAATTAAAAACAAATTTTTGGTGCCCCTAGTTTGCTGATGCCCTGAACATGTATTTAGGCTGCCTGTGGGGTGAGTCTGCAGGTCTCTCCCTACACGGGGCCCTCAGTCACTCGTCACTTGTACCTAAAAATAGAAGTGAGGGACAACGGCCTAGGCAACACGCCAAGTGCCATCCGCAGGCTGTGTTCCTCGCAGGGCTTTCCGGGCACATCTGCCAGTGACCCCTGCTCCCCCAGCAACAGCTACGCAGGTGTCGGGCACTGAACCTCTAAACTGAAACAGATGCAGCAGGACCCTAGAGAGCAAGGGGGCCCCTGCTTCCTGTGGTTTCCAAACGTTTTAGCCTCAAAACCCTTGGTTCGAATGGAACTTTTACAGACGCATCAATAAATAAAGCCGACAAAAGGAGATGCTCAGGCTGACACTGAGGTGAGACGTGAGGGGCGCCAGAGAGGCCCAAGATGGCCAGGGAGCAGTTGAGTGACACCTTCTCCTTCCAGGCCCTCACAGAGAGAAAGCAAGGCCAGAGAGGGAACTTGTCCAAGGTCGCCCCGGCACACGGCCTCCTGAGGTCAGTTCAGCTGCAGCCAATGCTGGCACCAGGGAGGGAGATATTAGTGTCCTCCTAAGCTTCCCCCTTCTGAATATGAGCAATTATGAGAATAAACTTTGTCCTGGAAATCTGACACCTAAAAGCACCTTTAGGGGGCTGGCCTGGTGGTGTAGTGGTTAAGTTTGCCCACTCTGCTTCGGCGGCCCGGGATTCACAGGTTCAGATCCTGGGCGCTGACCTACACATCGCTTGTCAAGCCATGCTGTGGCGGCCTCCCATATAAAGAGAAGGAAGATGGGCACAGATGTTAGCTCAGCGCCAATCTTCCTCAGCAAAAAGAGGAGGATTGGCAACGGATGTTAGCTTAGGGCTAATCTTCCTCACCAAAAAATAAAAAATAAATAAATAGAAGCACCTTGAGATCATTTTGCTATTCTAAGCTACAGGTGACCCACAAACGCCGTGTGCTTGCTGTGCAAATGCAGCGTCACCACACACCCCCTCGCTACCCTCTCTCTATCGGGACAGCTGCCCTATGTAGCCCATGTAGAAACCCAGACCTTTTTCTGGGGAACACTGTCCTGGTGTTGTTGGCAGAATGCCCTGGAGCATGCTCAACAGAGCCCTGGTCTGTTCTATTCACTGTGATTTACAACAAACACACAAATTAACAAACTTTCCTGAAAAGGAAATTGGGAAAGACTGTTCTCCGGCCCCTCCAGGGAATTCACCATGCATCTCAGCAGGACTTCCTCTGCCACAGAGAAACCGGCATCGGACCAGGGATTCCTCCTTCCCCAGCTTCCCACTTAACACTTGCCTGTGGAACGAGGGCTCCCTGTGGCAGACTTGGGCAAGTGGCTGCCTAGAGAACTCTCTGGAAGTCTAACACTCAGCCCAACGTCTGTCTTTTATTAGGTGCGGAGAATATTTGTGGAATGAAGTCCCCACCAGTCTAAGGAGACAGACCCTGTCTCTGGGAGCGAGTTCCCACCAACGCACAGGCTGCTTCATTATGACTGCTGCTCGAGAGATCTCGGTAGCAACTTGCACCCAGGCAAGTTCCAGGTTAACAGAGCCAGAAAAGATATCCTGAAAGTCCAGACGCACCCAAAGCAAAGGAACAAAAGCCCCAGACAGATCTATATCAAAAGCTAATTATTTAAATTACAGAAGGATTTGCCCCAGGTCTCCCTTAAGCAACACGTGATTGCAAGGCAGCTGATTTACTAGAAATGTGGCTGCTTTGTCATCCACTGTTCCAGAACTACCTTGAAGCTCCCTGAGGCCAGAACAGTGCCTCTTAGGCTTGCCTCGACCCCCAGGCGCGCCAACGTGCCTGGTACATGTGAGCACTCAATACAACTGCGTGGAAGGAATGGACTAAGGAGACTCCAGCAGGAAGCAGTGGCTGGACTGACCACAGGGAGACTGGCAGCAGGAGGGGCAGCAGCTAGGGCTTCCCAGAACAATCAAATGAGCACAGGGCAGGAAACCCCGACAACTCCCAGAAGTAAGCTCTGGGCCGCTCTGGGAGAAAGCTCAGAAGATGCCAACAGGAGAAGTCGTTGAGGCTTCTCGGATGAAAAGGAGCAGCCAAGAGAACTAGCTTTGAATCCCTTTCATTTCTCAGCCTACAAGAGAAATGAGTTTATGAGCACATGGGTCCTCTGAGGGCCGATGTGTCGCTTCTCTCCAACTCATCCTGATGTACCGAGCACAGCAAGAGCCACAGGCAACTCTTTTTAAGCGAGGGCCCTTGCCCAGAGGATAGGGGCGGACTTCCAGCCCTCAAGTCAAGAGAATGCAAACCAGAGAAGAGGCAGCAGAGAGGATGGACACAGAGTAGCAAATCCAATGACACCTCATCTCTCCTGGGTGAGGACAGGGCAGCTGACTCACTCCTGGAAAAACACAGGCTGACTTATCATAGACTGGGGTCAGCGTGCACTGAACCCCCAGATTCTTCCCTGGTCTTTCTGGTGACAGCCAGTTTTCCCTGTAGAACCCCAGGGAGGCCTGTGGACCCCGAGACCCCAGGTGGAGTAGAGGGGAGCAGAAATGTAAGGCTGAGGAACCCATTCCAGAGCATTGGCTCTCCTCCTCCCCGATGTCTACACAGAATGGGCATGGCTAAGAGAGCCCCCCCCCCCCACCTTCCCTGGAGATCAGAGGTCTGTTTCTGGAGAAACTCAATGGTTCACAATACAAGAGTTCTATGTAGGGGTTTTGGGGGTCCCTTGGGAGCTCCCATCTGGTCATCCTCAACAAAGCCAAGCAGTCAACAAGCCTCAACCACCCACCCAGTCTTTTTGTGCCTTATTCTGAAGTATGCAGAGATAAAAAAGGATCACCAGGTATTCAAAGAAAGCACCCAAGATGAAAAGGGGAGCCCAAGACAAATAAACAGAAACATAATTGTGGAGGAAACAGGGAAAACAAGAAATAGAAGAAAGTTTTAAAAAGCCTCTTGGGGCCAACCCAGTGGCTAGTGGTTAAGTTTGCATGCTCCGCTTCGGCGGCCCGGGGTTCGCAGGTTCGGACCCTGGGTGTGGACCTACACACCACTCATCAAGCCATGCTGTGGCAGGCATCCTACATATAAAGTCCAGGAAGATGGGCATGGATGTTAGCCTAGGGCCAACTTTCTTCAGCAAAAAGAGGAGGATTGGCAACAGATGTTAGCCCAGAGATAATCTTCCTCAGCAAAGGAAAAAAAAAGTTCTCATTAACAGCCACAGAAAAGTGTGAAAGGCTATTCCATTTATTAAAAAAGAAGAGGGTGTTATGGAAAAGGAACAAGCATAGAATAAAAGAGGTTTTGAAATTAAAAATATGAATGTTAAAAATTTTAAATCCAATATAGGGATTACAAAATAAAGATGATATCACAGAACATAGAACTAAAAGATGAAGACACGTACCTTAGGAGAGAAAACATAAGAAACTCAGACAATGGATCCAGCTGGTCCCACATCTAATTAACTGGAGTTTCAGGAAGAGAAATGAAAGAAAGAGGGAAGGAATTTATCAAAGAAATACTACAGTCATTATGCAATTTTAGAACAAAGGGATAAAGAGAAGATGATCAAAGCTCCCCAAAATGTAAACAGAAAAAGAAATCACATATCAAAGAACTGGAATCAGAATGACTTCAGACTTCTTATCCTAAAAACCACTGCAGGCAGGAAGACAGGGTGGACATAAAACTCTAGATTGGAAAGCATGTCCCCTTAGAATTTTGAAGACATGGCACCATTATCAGAGGACAGAATGAAGAGTTTTAAGACTTGCAAACATGTAAAAAATGTATGCCTGTCTAAGGAAGCTGCTTTGAGGATATGGTCCAGCAAAATGAGGGACTAAACAAATGAAAAACGGAGCTCCAGGAAACGACAGCTTCAGCCAGGGCCCAAAGTTGACGCAGGAGGAGGGAGAGTCCCCAAAAGGGAGGATTCCAGGGGGAAAGCAGTACACAACATAATCCAATTAAAGACGCAGTAAAATGTTCAGAGCGTGGGGCCTGGTGTCTGACCCTCTGGATTTATCCTGCCTCTGCCAGTGATTAGGCAGAACCGTGGCCGGTTTATTGAACGTCTCTGTGTCTGCACTGCCTGGGCTGTAACATAAGAGGAACACTGTGCCCTCTCCATGGAGCTGGGGTGCGGGGGGTGGGGGGTGGCCTGAGAGTGCTTGCGAGACACTTGGTACAGTGCTGGGCGCACGGTAAGCACTCAGATGTTAGCTACTGGGATGATGCTGGCAGACAGGGCAAGAGGGGAACAAAAGGAATTCGAGACTCCAAGAAATTCAAGGTTCTTACAGGAAAGGGGGAGATTAAAGTACATAACTGATTTTGCAGTAAATGACGTTTACAGCCATAATAAGGTAAACACTTTATTAAGTTAAGACAGTGAACTATTTATTGTGGGGGGTGGAGTGGGGAGAGGGAGAGAGCTGAATCTGTACTCCTCGTGCAAAATTGAGGAGGAAGAGGGTGAGGCAGACACCAGAAGAACCGCTGAAGGAGTTCAGTGTGTTTGCCGC